ACAGGAGAACAGGTTGTACGACGGCGGATAGAAAGAAATAAATAAAACAAAACGAGAAAGAGAAAAGTTCGAAGTCTGTTTCCCCTGGTCATTCAATCCCGCCGAAAATCCCTATCCGTCCATCTCTCATTCATCATATCACCAGGGCGCTTGAACGCAGATCGTCGCCGATGTCGTCCCTGCATCGGTCGACTAGGAGGAGGCTGTAACGAGTGTCGCTCGTTAAAGGTGAAGCCTAAGCGCCTCTATTGTGGAGGGGGGCGACGTAAAAGCCGGCCCGTGAAAACAAACCAGAGAAGGAGAAGCGCCCGCGAGACGAACGAGCGAAAAAGTGAGAGAGAGGAGAGAGATTAGGGCGCCGACCAGCGCGTGTTAGGTGCGCGTAGCACGGGACAGTAGGAATAAGAGGAAGGGGAAAGAGAACGATATGGCCGCCGGCCGGCGTGCGCGACAGAGGAGTGAGGAACGCGTACGATTAGTCAAGTCCGGACCTGCGGGCAAGAAAAACGCGAGTGAGTGCATTGGAAATTGAAGGAGCTTCCCGACCGATATTGCGCGAAGACTCAGTAGTTCTAAGGTCGCTGAGAAATCACGCCCCAGGGAAAGGTCATTCGCTGCCCATTACAGCCAGTTGCCTAGAGCGATCTGAGGCAACAGTCGAGGATCGCGGGTAACTGCGAACCCGGACAGGGAAAACCTTGACTGGAAGGCGTCCCGCGAGGAAGGGCCGGAAGCAGACGCAACTCGCGAATACCGTCGAGGATACCCTCGGCAGCAGCAACTCGACCCCGCAGCGTAAGTTCCCGACATTAATTGTAAGTGCGCGCGGACAGAAAGCGAAATTAGATAGTGCGCGTCTTTCTCTCTCTCATCGCGAGCGTGATATACCCTGTGGAATCTCTCGGCCATGGCGTTATCTTTGTATGACTTCACGCGGCAAAGGAGAATAAATTTGTAATTCTTGCGACAACTGGCTGAGACTTTTTCTTTCAAACTCCCTTTGGTTTTCCTCTCCTATCGCCCATAACAGAACCTGCCCGACCTTGAGTCACTGGGCAACCCGGAATCGCCGCACGTGTCCTCCACGTCTGGGCTTTCTCGGGCTCTAGGGCGAGAGGTCAGAAGATCGAGCTGATCCGAACGAACTGATCGAGGTGGCGGTCAGCCTCGCAACGCAAGGAACATCCTTTCTCTAACGGGTGAGATTTCTATTCGCGCCCCGAAAGAAATAACTCGTTACAAAACTAATTGATAAAGGATTAATCCCAGAAGGGGTAAGTGTGTCACTGAGATTAAAGTCAGCTATTAAATGACTATTGCTTTTAATTACGGAAACTTCCCTTCCATAAAAAATTCAAATTTTACCGCCATAAAATAATCTGACTCGTCCTCGACGTAACACGCCCGCCCCTGAATACCAGCAAAGCAGGGCGCTCGTAAGTTGCACCTGCCTATTTAAAATTGCGTACATCAAGATAATATACTTATACTTTGCACATAATGAGTTACAATATGCACTACGTACTAAACAACCAGTAATTTTACACATATACGAGTATATATGTTTGAATGAGAAAAACTTCGAAGCACTATAAAGTCTCTAATTTTCAAATGGCAAGAAACCACCACTCTACACTACATTTAATCTTCTTAAAAATATTTCTTCTCCTATGGTGCCAGGTTTACATATACGGCATTTTTCTCCGGGTTGAAGGGCATTCTGATGGTCAGTTGACCAGTGCTCCCAACAGATGAGGAAGATATTCTTCGGTCCATGGGTTAAATATTTTAAAATACACAGCTTACAAAAACGCCACACAGGTAAAGGTCGAGAGCACTGTACACAGTTATCAAAAGTTAATAAATCCACAAAAACCACACCTCCACAAGACATATGTACAAATTCGCCGTATGTTCTTCCGCGTTCGAACCTTTCTCCGTGAAAATATGCTACAAGATAATCTATCCATACCTGCATATCTTCTCTCGTACATTCATCCGGTGGTAGAGGAACATACGAGGTGTGATCAAAAAGTAAGGTGAATTTTTAATTTTCTCAAAAAATATTTATTTATTCATCAATTTTTATTTTATCTCCTTCAAAGTAATCCCCCTCGGATATAATGCACTTGTGCCAACGCTTTTTCCAATCCTCAAAGCATTTCAAAAAATCATTTTTTGTGATCTTGTTTAGTTCATCCTTCGATGCCGTCTTTATCTCCTCAATCGTGGCAAAAGGCCGTCCTTTCATGGGCCTCTTCAGTTTTGGGAACAAGAAGAAGTCACAGAAGGCCAGATCTGGGGAATACGTTGCCTGTGGCATCGTTACTGTGTTGGTTTTAGCCAAAAATTCGCGCACAAGCAACGATGTGTGAGCAGGGGCGATATCATAGTGCAAAAGCCAATTTTTATTTTTCCACAAATTCGGACGTTTCTAGCGGATTGCTTCGCGTAAATTGCGCATAACTTGCAGGTAATATTCCTTATTTACTGTTCTACCCTGTGGCAAGAACTCATGATGCACCACGCCCCTGCAGTCAAAGAAAACTGTAAGCAAAACCTTTACATTTGATCGAACTTGGCGTGCTTTTTTTGGTCTTGGTGATCCAGAATACCTTCACTGGGACGATTGAGTCTTAGTCTCGACGTCCTAACCGTATACCCATGTTTCGTCACCTGTTATAACCCTGTTGAGTAAATCTGGATCATCGTTGACGTCATTCAGTAGCTCTTGGGCGATGCTCATGCGACGTTTCTTTTGGTCGAAATTGAGCAATTTCGGAACAAACTTCGCTGACACACGTCTCATGTCTAAAACACTCGTCAAAATTGATTGGCACGAACCAAATGAGATGCCAATATCATCAGCAATTTCTCTAATGGTAATTCGACGATTTCCCAACACTATTTTCTTCACTTCTTCAACATTCTCATCAGTTGTTGATGTGCTGGGGCGTCCAGAATGAGGTTCGTCGTCGGTGTCTTCTCGGCCTTCTTGGAAGAGTTTATACAACTTGTAAACATTTTTTTGGCTTAAAGTAGACTCACCGTATGCCATTTTCAGCATTTCAAGTGTTTTGGAACATTTGATTTCATTTTTCACACAAAATTTAATGCAAACTCTTTGATCCATGTTTTTAGACAGCAGCAAATCGTGGAGCACGCAAAACACTTCTAACCTTGATGCCTCTCACAAACAAACCAAACATACTACAAAGCTGAAATTTGGAACGTATGTTCTAGAAGAATGTACCGACATAACCAAATAAAAAAGTCAAAGATCGAACGGACGTAGCCCGCTAAATTTCAAAATTCACCTTACTTTTTGATCACACCTCGTACTCTACATACTGCAACTGGTGGTTTTCGTATCTTAACTGACACCTTTTCATGATGATTTGAAGTTGCTTATTCGTGATATCCGGTCCGGATACTAACAGTAGGATTAGGTCGTATCCCATTATACGAGCGCAATCCTCCGATGCCTTTCGGTAGTCTTCGCAGCTGTCATAGCAAATCTTCCCTAAGACTTGGGCTTAATTTGTAGGGTTACCAGCTCTGGATGGTCGCCCCATTTTCACTGCCTCACTGTTTAACCACAAGACGATTCCTCGTCGATACATTTCCGGTAAAACCACGTTGTCGTATGGTTCCGGACTGTTGAACAAGTTTAAGGGATCACTTATTACTCCTTCTTCTGTGATCACAAATCCGTGGTTTTCTCCATAAACTTCTTCCAACTTTTGCAAGACCCTACTCACGAACATGTTATACAATTACTTATAGAGACACAGACACAAAACTAGTTGACACTACGCTGTTTTACTGGCAACTAAGTCCCTTTTATTTTACTCTACCTTTCAAACCGGGAACTTAATCATTAATCTAGCTATAAAATTTTCATTTTGTTTCTTTCCTACTGCTAGATACCACTTAATTTATTCGAATTCCAGGTGTCGAATTTAGTGTATTCTATGTCAACTGTATTTGGAGGAGTCTTGCCAGGAAATTGCAGTATAAATTCACTCTAATAATAATTTATTTATTTATTTCTATTTTTATATAAAAATAGCCCCCAAAGAAAATTTATTCACTAAGATTTAGCCAATAGTTACTGTTTTCTGAAAATAACTGATCTACTTGCCTACTCCACGCCTGAATTAATTCACTACCTTCTTGATGGAATCGGCTTTCGTCATCATTTTCTAATGACTTCCGATGTTCGGCAAAGGGGCACTCCAAAATTTGCATCAACACGTCCTCACACTGTTTGCTTAAATGTAACGCCGTGCAGTAACGACAATTACGTACTGCTAATAATGGTATTTGACACACTGCACAACATCCAAACTTATGGCGGTTATCTGTATTAAGACTACCATAATTTATCTTAAACAGATGCTGAATGAAGATATCAGTAGGGTAAGTGGTTTTGTTGTGGGCACGGTTCGGTTGTGGACACCCCTGCGTTTCTGCTGACAGAAAACAGATGAGGTTTGTCTAAGAAATGTCATTTATGTATTATGGCAGCCTTTTTTTTATGCCAAATATTGAATCGAAGAAACGCGTTTGCTTTGTTTTGTGAGTAATTTAATTTTTCTGTGCTTGAAAAAAAATCACAAAAATTTATTTAAACTTTTTCAATAGTATTAGAAATCTAAGTGAATCATTGAAGGTAAGTGTAATGCATATTTATTCAGTAGGAAGTTACTCCTACTTTGTGATGCAATATCGATTGCAACTTATATGTTAAAACCAAAAATTTCTTTTCACCACTTCTTAAGATGCCTGGCAAGTTCAATTGTGGGCACCGAAATTAGTTCTGTTATGGGCGCCCGTTTTTTTTTTTTAAATGGTGAAATATCGACGTTGATTGAACCTAATTACTAAGTTAACAATATCTAATGAAATATACGTATGTTGATAATTTTTTATGTTCCAATGTATTTTTACATTAAAATATTAATGGTGTTTTCATGTATTTTTCGATTTTTTTAGCCATGTCGCCCAAAGATAAATCGAAAAAATTGTCCGGTATGGATTTTAATGTGCTACTTGTTGCGATTAAACATTGTTCTGTCGATAAGCTGTCCATAAAATCGACTGCCGCAATGTATGCCATTTCCCGAACCACTCTTCAACGCTACGTGAAGAAAGTGGAAGAACATTTCGAAGACATCGAAACCGTCGAGGATGATGCTTTATTGGATTTTCTTCGAGCATGTAACAAGCACGTGCCATCGAATCAGGTCTTCTCGACAGCCCAGGAGAATGACTTGGTCACATACATTTTGAAATGTTCCAATCACTACTACGGACTTAGCATAAATGAGGTGCGTGAGTTGGCATACCAGTTTGCTGTGAAGCTTGGCGTTGATTTCCCCAACAGTTGGAACAAGGATGAAAAAGCGGGCATGGAATGGTATAAAAAATTCAGGCGTCGACACCCTCAATTGACTTTACGCACCCCGGAGCAAACATCGTTGAACCGCGTAAAGGCTTTCTGCACAACTAAGGTGCAGAAGTTTTTCGACCAACTCGGCGCGATGTACGATGAGCATCATTTTCCGGCTACGCACGTCTATAATATGGACGAGTCGGGGTTTTCTACCGTTCCAACGAAAATTGGCCGAGTGATCACCTTGAAGGGCACACGGCGTGTTGGTAAGGTGGAAGCCGCTGAACGAGGCACCATGATTACCATGGCATTGACAGTCGACGCTAATGGAAACAGTTTGCCGCCGTTTTTCTTGTATCCAAGGAAAAACATGCAAAGCTGCTACCTAGATAATGCCACTTCGGGTACGGATGCTTTGGCAAACGGCTCTGGATGGATGGATCAGCCGTCATTCCTTCGCTACATGCGGCATTTTATCGCGTTTGCCAAGCCAACGCCAGCTTCTCCTGTTTTGCTGCTCCTGGATAATCACTCCAGCCATCTGTCGGTAGAAGCACTAGACCTTGCCGTCGAGAATGGCGTGCATATTCTTTCATTTCCACCGCATTGCAGCCACCGGCTTCAGCCTTTGGATGTTTCTGTGTTTGGACCGGTGAAGACTTTTTACAAGTTACAGTGTTCGGCTTGGCAAAAGAACAATGCCAATAAGGGCTTGGAAATCCGTCACCTGGCCAGCTTGATCTGCAAAGCGCTTGATCTGGCGTTAACACCAAAGACAATCAAGTCTGGTTTCCGCGCAACAGGCATCATGCCATTCGACCCAGACATTTTCAGTGAAGCTGATTACGTTAAAGACGTCGGACAAACTCCAGTGCCATCTACTTCGACTTCGCGTGCAACGTCAGTGAGCAATCTTTCGATTTTGGATGACGTCGGTCCATTGCGCGGTGCGACGCCGAAGAAGCCATTGAATCGCGGCCGCAAACCAATGGAGAGCTCGATACTGACTTCTCCGGACGTTCTTTCTGGCTTCAAGAGGAAAGAAGCTGAGCGGAATGCTAAACAAGCAGCAAAAGAATCGACAGCATCTAAGCGCGCCAAATTAACTCCAGGCAAGCGCACCAATCCAACTTCATAAACCACCAGCTAAGCGCGCCAATACAACTCTAGCCAAACCATCGGCTAAGCGCGCTAAGCCAACTCCAGCCAAAACAGCGGCTAAGCACGCTAAGCCAAACGAGTCTCCGCTATCTGACGACGATGTGGACTTCTGCCTGATTTGTTTGAAGCTTTTGCCACGCAAATTGACGGACGCCAACTCCATCAACTGTAGCGAATGCGATCGGCCCGTCCATCTGAAATGTGCAGGCATGCGCGCCAAGTATTTCACATTCAAACATTGTGTTTCAAACGAAGAATAATGTCACAAATTTTTAAAATGTTGTTCTAAAATAGTTTGTTCTAAAATGTTAAGTAGTTCTAAAATGTTAAATAGTTGTTCTAAATTGCAAAATAGTTGTCTAAAACGTTGTTCTGCAATATTGTTCGAAAAGAGTTATATTCTAAAATAAATAAACTTTCACTTTTTCTGTATTCTTGGTGATTTTTCTTCATATTTTCCCATTTTCAGCAGATTTTGCAAGGGTGCTCACAACCGGACCAAAAAACTATTTTGGCCGAAAATGACCACTTCACAATATTAACAAAAAAATGTTTCTCTTTGGCGGAATCAATTTTGTCCCTTCGTTGGTAGTTAGCTAAGGTCTCTAGCTTTCCACAGATACCCATATGCCGAAGAAATATGCACTTGGTGAAATGTTATGAGCCAAAAAAAAAGTGGTGTCCACAACCGAACCCTTTCCCCTACTTTCACTCACGGTTTAAAGTAGCAAATTTTGGCTCCTAAATAAACTATCCTTTGATACTGTAAGATATTCCGGATATTGAAATATCTCATTACTGTTTCTTAATGTAAAACGTTGGCCTCTGGCTTGCTGTTGTGCTACTGTGAGTCCTGGTATTCCTGGATCTAGGAGTAAGTATACCATCTTCGTTACACTTTCCTTGCATATTTCTTGAAATTATGATGAGTTATTATATATCATTTCTCCGATTAATTCATACGTGTTGGTTAGCTGGAAGGTCCGCACTTTTCATCCGTATTCACTTGCTGTTTAGTTCAACCAGCGGCAAGCTTCCCAGCGATAAATATGGAACGGTTCGGGTATCTAACAGTAGTTTTCACTCGTTTCGAACAGTCCTAGAGGGTCTCGTTGCATAACACCTTTCTCGTTAAAGAGAAAACCGTGGCAAAATCCTCTTTCACTTATGAGTTTGATGGAAACGCACTGAGCGTACATTTTTTACTGGATTATATTAATTACTTGCTCTGTTCTTTTCTGTAGACTAACTAATTTCCTCTTACTTCATTCGTTTTAATAGTGATTTTTCCTAATTCCCTATCTTTTTCTTTCTACTTTTATGTTCCTGGATGATTACCATTTTACAATCCATGACCTACTCTAGTTATACTAGGAAAGTTTTATTACCCACACCTGGCCTAATACTACGAATAGCGTTCCCCCGCAAAGCTAAGTGTTTCATATGAATGCTAAAACTGCAACTGGCTGAGTGACTCCCTCAATAACAGGTATACTTATTTATTCTTTGATATTTATTGATTTTGAGCTTTCCATTCCTATTTGTTCAGACAATTCTTCCTTTAGTCCTTCATCCTGGGTTGATTGTAATAGAGTTGGTAACATATTTTCATAGTCATGAACCTTTTTAGGAGGTATGCGGGGTATCTCGTAAAACGGTTGCCCCGTAAAATCTAAACCCGGTATCTAATTTCAACATTGGTATATATGTTTCGCTTATTGTAGTGCCTCTTCTACTTTGTTTGTTGTTGACATAGTGATATACTATAAACATAATTAGAGAGCTTATAATTAAACATAAAATTGCAATGCTGATACAAATAAGATTCCAAGTTGACAAGTTAGTTGTTTTTTATTCTACTTTTGTTGTTAGGGTATTGATCGGTTTTATCTCAATTTTAGTTGTACTGTCTAACCGCTGGTCTATATCTAAAAGGGTTAGTCGAAAAGGCGGAATAATTAGATTTTTTATTACTTTATTGCCGGTCGCACATTTATATATTTTTCCGTCGGCCTATATGTCATAAGACCTTGGGAGATCAAGTATGCCAGAAGAAAGCTTCGGAATAGATATAAATTTATTAGTGCATTTAATTTTTAATGAATCATATTCTCTCGCTGAGAATAACCTGAGATGACTGTTAGCAGTTTTGATTAGGAAATAATCTTCATCTTGACTTAATTTAACATTACATTCATATAAAGTTTTGATTTTTGGCTTTATTAGCATGTTGAACTCACAAGATGCTTTGGTATTTTCTATTAATTCTACACTACATATTTTATAACATTTTACGATGTTACATAATTCAAAGGCCGTTTCACTCATAAACAAATATGAATTATTAGTTTCTGATACAACAATGTAATCATTCCATGGTTCAATGTATGCAGCGATTAACTTATTTGTCTCAGATTGTTGAAAAACTGGAAAAGACATCATTTTGTACACGGCATTCTGTTCGGCATCTATGAACCGTAGTACTATTTCTACAATTAGTATTTTTTTATTCATCATAAAATGTAACTGCTATGTCAGCAATATTTACTGTATTAATACTATTAGGTTTAACAATGGATTTTAAAAGTGATGTTATTTCTATTTCATGTATTACTGTTTGTAAGATGTGCATTAATAATATAATTTTTTTACTTTCATGTTATAGTTCTTTAATGAGTGAGACTGTTTTATGGAAATTAGCGGCCTGATTTTTCTCTGTTATGTTGGGGTTCTGTTTTAACAGTTGCACGCATCTTTTAATATAGTCAGTTTTCGAGTTTACTGATTTAATTTGTTCATGCCGGCCATTGTCAAAGTAATAAGTGTTCGGTTCATTGCCCACAATATAAGATAGATCGTTTATACGCATGTTAGTTGCTCTTTTTATAACTTTTTTTGTGTTACTCAATGCGTAACTGTTTTGAAAAGATAAAGCTTTTCCTCCCCACTTAATTTTTTTCAACATGCAAAGTGTTGACAAGACGATTCCGAGAATCGTCAGCATGATTAATATCCCGCAAATCATCCATAACATGCTGTATAATCGAACTTGCTTCTATGTTGGATACATTATCTTCTATGAAGATGTTATTTAAAGTAGTTACTTGATTAGTAAGTACCTCGTTCCAAATGAAAATGTGTTGCATGTCAATGGTTGTTAGTAAACTCCAATTTTCACACGTAAAGGCTATACGTTCAATTTTATGAAACGCAATCCCTGGATTGCCTTCAATCAGATGTACGATGGGGTTTTCTTCTCGTCCCCTAACTGCCATAAATCGGAGAAGCAAATACAGGCAGATTGCTGCTTTTTTCATCTTGTTTGTTTTTTTTTTGTGTGTTCTGCAAACTGCAATTCGATATAGGTTACAATTATTATTCGATAAATTATATATTTTTTTTTTACACAAGCTTATAGGATCATTAACGTCAAATACACTATTGTTAATCCATGCTTGGGTTAGGTCGTGTATTATGGTTATTACAATTTTTTTTTCTAATACCCTTTTACAAATTTTATCTAATGGATCAAATACATTATGTGATTATAAAAAAATATCTTTGAATGTTTTGATATTGATTAGCTGCTAAATCTGTTACGTTTGCAATATTTTCTAATTTATTTAGATTATTGCTAATTTGTTCAGCGTGTGCAACTGCCTGCTGTAATGAACTATAAAATTTGTATTGACACACATATCTTTTTATGCCTTTGTTTAGGTATTCAACAAAACACATCGTTGCTAATTATTCTCTTTCTTCGATAGTGTCTGTTACTTCATGTAACTGTAACTAAGCTAAATGGCCTGCAATCTTGTATGATTTTAATAAGTTTACGGCTCTTTTTCCAAATTTATGAGTTGATTCGTTATTTCTTTGAGTCATACATATTAATTTTGTCTTTATACAAATTAGATTTTCTAGTACTGCGATTTTTTCTGAATCATTCATGATGACAAATATAATTTTAATACCAAAATTTTTTTTTATTCGTCCCTATCTGAAGGAACTCGTTTATTCCTTGGAGGAATTGACCGAATGCAAGGCTCTTGTAATACGGGATAGGGTCTAGTATCTATTAATCTGTTTTCTACCTGTTGTGTGTTAGGTTTAAAGGTACACTCGATTACTTTCGCTTTCAATGCTGGTGCGTCCGAGGAACTTGGAGCAGATGGGGAATTTGGAGGGGCGTTTATATAACTGGTGTTGACAACTGTTCCTCGCTCGATTTTATTTTGATTCTTATCTTGTTCCCGTTCTTCAGTGGGAGTCCTAGCTAATTGGACAAGTAAATTTGTAAGTGAATTCCACACTGCACCCATTATTTTGATAGACCATCCGAAAAGCGAATAGAGTGCGTATCCATGAATGATTGTATCGAGTATAAACTTAATCACGCGAAAAAGCATAATTACGGAAATACGAGGTGTGTTCAAAAAGTAACGAGAATTTTTAAATTTCGCGGGTTTGGAGAGTCCGCTTGTATAAAATTTTTTTTTATTATGTTGGTACACATGCCCCTGAAATACGATAAAATTTTCAGCAATAATCATTGCTTACTTTTTAAGTGGCAGCCGCTAACGTTAGACGTGTTTTTCGAGCTCAGCGATTTTCGTTTATGAAAAAAAATGGATCAAAGAATTTGTATTAAATTTTGCGTAAAAAATGAAATAAAGTGTAGTAAAGTTTGTCAAATGTTAACAAAGGCATATAGTGAGTCTGCTATGAGTAAAGCAAGGATTTATGAGTGGTATAAGCGTTTCCAAGATGGACACGAAAACGTTGAAGATGACGAACGACCCGGACGCCCAAGCACATCAACAACCGATGAAAACGTGAAAAAAGTGAAAGAAATGGTTATGAACGATCGCCGAATCACAATCAGAGAAGTCGCTGATGATGTTGGCATATCAGTTGGCTCATGCCATCAAATTTTTTCGAATGTTTTGGGTATGAAACGTGTGGCAGCAAAATTCG